ACCAAGAATGTGTTATTTTGTTTATAATTTTCAGCTTTCGAAATTCTATGAAAACCTCATGAACTTAGTACCAAAATGTTCGTCTCAATTCGCTGTTTCCATTCATACAAAATTCAGTAGGACTTGCTAAGAGAAATACCAATGGGCCGATTTTGCATCTTATACACCCCCGCCTTTGTAAAATATTTATTATTTAATTTATTTTTAAAATTTTCCAATTATCATGTGGTGAAGAACGCTTTAAGCTCTTGTCTTTTGTGATGATATGTGTATAAAATTTTTCTTTTCGTTGTCTTATGTGAACATATATGTCATCGAAGCTGACAGAACGAAAGAAAAAGTACAGAAAGGCCACAAAAAAGTTCTTCCTGCAGTGAATAGTATTTTAAATATTTTTGCTTGGAACTACACCATACCCAGCGCTCATATTCTAAGGTAATGCTTATTTTTTCACGCTCTTTGCAATGATACTACTCTTACAAATTAGACTTTTAGTCAATTTTTTTCGATCGTTTGATATGTTATCTACTGGCGTTGTTTAAAGATAACAGAAGAAGAAACATTCCGTCAAAGCTGTTGATTGTGGGTCATCTTTCAAGGTGATCCCTCTTTCTTTTCTTTTGTCTTGCAGAACAAAGCATGAAACAAGCTGAATATTTGCTCAATAATTGTCGAAGATGTTGATCAATATTCATTAATATCGAAATCGAGATTGATTGTTAAGAATAAAATATCTTCGGAAAATCCTAGTATGAAGAAAATTAAGACGTTTGAGTTCGAGTAAAACTAGCAATATAAATTTTAAATACAATATGAATACATAAGATCAGGAGAAGAAATCTTAAAAATCGTTCTAAGGGAAAAAGCAGATATTTCACATGACGACATGATCTGAAATAATTAAATAAAAATGTATCTGATTCAATATGTTAAAAAAACAACAAAAAATTAGACCGAAATAAAACCGACGAAAATTGACCAGACTCATTTGAATAGCCATTATAGTTAGACTATAGTATTGAACTTATTGAGTTATGTTTTCTCAGTTTGGAACAATGTGTTTCAATTTACAGAAATGATATTCACAGTTGCCTACATTTTTAGTACTTACAATGTCAATAAACGTTTATTTAATTATCATTTGATTAGTTAGTGATTCATTTTTAAAAAAGTCAATGACTAATGTGCTTGTGCTTACATTTTTTCATCTACGTATCATAGCAATCTGATTAATATCATAAAAAACTTAGATTGTGCCTCTCTGACGTTAGTGTGCTTAGTAAAACAATATTTGCCATTTGACCCTCCCATATATTTATTGATAAAGAGTATAAAAACACTTTTTTTTCTGTTTCATTTTCAAACAAAGAAGAAAATGCTCGCAGTATTATTAATTCTGCTGCTAACTTCGAACATTGGTTACGCTCTCCAATGTATAACTAACTGTTCGTTTAGAGCTAATCTCTTTGATCAAAAATTTAAAATTCCTGACGGAGAATGTCAACAACGAGTGTCAACATCTGTTTGTCCTATATTGTTGACATTTGATTATCACGTAAATTTGTATTATATAACTTTTGATACTATTACGGAGTCGGCAGATTACTTTACTATTTCGCCATCACTCTATCTTTCTTACTGAATCAATTATCAATGTTCGGAACAAACCGATTGTGTTATTCAATATGCAACGAATAAAATCGATGAAATAGTTAGTCGTGCTTATAATGCACAATACATAAATGAACAACTTGCTCCAATTATCGGGAATTTTATAAAAAATGCTTCAATTCAATGTTATAATATGAAAAATGAAATAGTCATATGCTCATCTGTTGAAGTGTGTTCAATAGATTATGATCAAAGAGAAAATAGAGTTATATCACGCGGTTGTGAGAATAATTATGGACCCAAAGTTTATGTTTATGATCGCAAGGATCATACAAGATTATGTGTTGAATGTAATCGTAATTTATGCAATACTGATGAAGCCATTTCACAAATCAAAATTGTATTGCAAAATAATGGTCTAACAGATGCTAATGGAAGACGAATTGCCAATGGAAATAAACAAATGATTTCCTCACTATTAATGACATTTGCTTTGATTTTTATTATGTTTTATTATTTATGAAATAGACAAAACCCATTGTAAAATGAAATTAGATTTAATTCAGCGAAATAAGCAAGATGGGTGTGGGTGTGGATATGGGTGGATATGTGTGTGAGTATGAGTAATGATGTAGTTATGAGTGCGGTTGGTGAAGATACAATCAATACTTACAGGCCCACACTCACACCCTTGATTTGTCAATTATTTCACAGAGACTCAACTCTAACATCAAATACATAAAGTGTTATCAAATAGGGAGTATGAAGACTATGTGTAGATTTCTTATCTTGTCTGTCACCCTAAAATCATTCGAATAGGCACTAAATCAGAACCATCTGATGATATCATTAAGCAAGGTCAGAACGTGCCATGGTTGCTCGTCACACTCACACTTGCACCTACAACCCAATGTGAGTTTTGAAAAGAAACAAACACAACACAATAAGAAGTTACATATCAAGAATAGTCCTCACGCCTAATTCGTAGCTGAATATGCAGCCTTGGAGGGGACAGCATCTTACAGGAAAATGTGAAGAAAATATGACGTTCTGTACGAAATGACGCACAAAGGTGTGGGTGTGGATATTGGGGTGTAAATGGAGTGCGTTGAAGAGAAAATCCATGGTCACAGCCACCTGCACACCCATACCCTTCTTGATCAGTAACATCTTGTTTTCATTATTATTATTCCCTTTATTATCATTATTACTATTATTACTATTATTATTGTTCATTATTATGTTATGTTTTCATTAACTGAAATAAAACATTATTCAATATATTCGTTATTCTAATGTTACGTCTAGAAACGGTCATGGTAGACGACGATCGTATACGATGCCATACGTTCAAATACGATCAACGTATACGTTGAAGATAAACGACTATCGTGTACGAGTGTAGTATATGACCGTATATGGTCTTAATTTAGTCGTAAGTTGAGTTCCATGTGTCGACCATACAACTCTTCCCACAGCAGAAAACTTCACGTCAGATCGTACAAAATCCAATAAGATCTTACCCTTATAAGATTTTTTTCTATAATCTTGTCACAAGGTCCGATAATATAGTATGTCTTCGTTTTTTTTTAAGATTTCCTCAGATTCTGACTATAGCATGCGAGCAAAAATCTTACGAGAATTAAAGATTAAGAAACGTATAAGCACAGGCTGAATGCTTCTTGTCAGATATTATCAAATCATATAAGATTCATACAAAAAGAAACATACCAAGACATAATGTCGATCTTGCCTGTTCTTATCTGATCGCGAATGGTCTGTTCTGTTCTTTCACTCATTCGAGAATTGTTGATTCGATTAGTTTTACTATGAAGAACAATAGTTAAAAAACAGGATCGAGCTGGGTAAATAATTTTTTTCTTATTTTTCTATACTAATAATACATAAAATCCCATTTTTATTTCTTAATTTTCTATAATGATAATATAGCTAGCAGTTAGTTTTATTTCTGATTATTTTATACTGATAGTAGTGAAAATCTTATTTTTTATTTCTTTTTTTTTTCTATGCTAATAATATACAAGACAGTTAATTTCATTTCTTATTTTTCTACAGTGATAATATAGAAAATCTTAATTTTCATGTCTTTTTTTTTTATATTGGTAAAATAGAAAATCTCATTTTTATTTCTCATTTATCTATATTAATAATATTAAAAAAAAAGAAATAAAAATTAGAATTTTCTATATTATTAGCATAGAAAATTAAGGATATAAAAGTAATTATTTTCTATACTGTAGCTAAAGAAAAAAAATGCGATTTTCTATAGTTAGAGTATAGAAAAAGAAGAAATGAAAATTTAAATTTTCTATATTATTACCATGGAAAAATAAGAAACAAAACTAACTGTTATCCATATCATCAATATAGAAAAATAAGAATTATAAATGAATTTTTCTATATTATTAATATTTCCTATAATATTAATATAGAAAAATAAGAAATAAAAAGTAGAATTTTCTATATGATTAACACAGAGAAGTAAGGAATAAAACTAACCATCTTCTATACTATTGCTAGAGAAAAATAAAAAAGTGCGACTTTCTATATTGAGAGTATAGAGAAAAACAAATGAAAATTTATCTTTTCTATATTATTCATAAAGAAAAATAATAAAATAATTGTATGCACAGCTCGATCGTGTTTTCTAACTGCTGTTCTTCATACTGAAACCACTTGAACCAACAGTTCAAATAAATTTTAATTTTCAATTTGAGATTATTTAAATAAATTTTATCCTTTAGTTTTAGATTATTCACAAAGATAAATTTTAGTGGGCGTATTAATTTAAATAAATAGGGATGTCCACTTTGGCTGAAGGTTCTAATTCTTATTTTCGATTGCAGTTTCGATGATCTATCATCTTAGCTACACGACTAAAAAAGAATTGGAACCTCCAACCAGACTTGGCAACCCAAGTGATAGTTTTTGCACTGTTTGGAGAGTGGAGGGGGGAGGGTATGAAAAGGTTATATGGAGTATGACGACAATCGGCGCTGTGTGCGACCGTGTACGATCGTAATTTATACCGTATACGACCGTACACAATTGTATACGACATCGTATACGATAGTTTACGACTGTCGTAATGCTCGTCCTGTGATGAATGGTGTGCAACTGATAAAATAGTTGAGGAGCAGTTTATGAAAAAAATATTATGCATAACAAAATCGTTTGATACAGTAGTGAACCTTATTACACATACCTTAAATGTAGCGTCTCCACGTCAATAGTCCGAGTTCGATAGATGATCGAGATCATCATCCGACGATAATATAATCATTCTACCATTACTAGTTTCATTATCATACAATAACAATCGACTACCACCATTAGTTACTTCAAGTTCATCAGGGATATGAATATCATCAAATAAACTTGGTCTTGGTCTTGGTAATGGTATATCTTTTTTTCTACTTTTTCGTCCAATAGTACGTTGTGATGATGAGTAATTCGGAACAGCTGTTCCATCATCTTTGCTAATACTTAGTAAATCTTCATGAATAATACATCAAGGTGGATCGTGAGACATTGTGGCACTATCCACAATCTCTGATTTAAATTTCATTGCTATTATTTCTTCAGGATTATGTGCATGAATATGATCTTTGACTTTAACATATACAGTGGCCGCCAAAATTATCCGACCACATAGCAAAAAAAATTTTCGTTTTATATCTTGCAGATGAAACTAGCTAAAGACCTGCGTTCTTCACTATGTTGTAGCTCATCACTTCTACTATGTATATGGACAGTATAAGATTGAAATTTCGTGTTGTTCATTTTTTATTAAAACAAAAAAAAATACATGAATTTTTCATACACCAGTATTATCCGACCAATGTTGTATTTTTGAGAAATCTGTGATATAAGGCCTACAACTCCTATTTATTCTTGTCGTGCTTATTACTAGCGATATCTATAGAGTTTGCTTTCGTTTGGAATGTTCAAAATGGCTAGGCAAGTAGTCAAGAAAACAGATTTAACGATGGCTCCTAAGAAAACGAAGGAACATTCAAATGATTTACGACAAACCGTTATTAAACACTTCTTAAATGGCGATACTGAACGTGATATAGTTACCAAAGTGCTCATTCCACGTACTTCAAGTCATTACATCATTGCAAAGTACAAATCAACGAAGTGTATTGGAAATATCATTGGCAGAGGTCGAAAACGGAAAACGACAATTCATACAGATCGTCTAATTCAACGCAAAATCAAAGAAAATCGTCGTATATCATCATTATCTGTGAAAGTTGAACTTCCAAACGATCTTAATATTAACATTTCAGAAACAACAATTCGTCGACGAGCTCATGAAGGTGGTTTATTTGGTCGAATGGCTCGTAAAAAACCATATGTAAATAAAGTAAATCGAGGAAAACGACTTGAATTTGCAAGAACATACCGAGAAAAGTCTCTTGGGTTGTGGAATCACGTAATTTGGTCGGATGAAAGCAAATTTAATGTGTTTGGATCAGATGGGAAGGTGATGGTTTGGCGAACAACAAAGGAAGAGCTCGATCCAAAATGTACGGTCCCGACTGTAAAACATGGTGATGGTAATGTCAAGTGTTGGGGATGTTTCTCATCATCTGGTGTTGGCAATCTGGTTTTTATTGATGGAAATATGACAGGAGAGATGTATCGAGACATTCTGCAAAAGAATTTGTTGCAATCTGTAGAGAATTTGAACATGGATAAAGATTGGGTTTTTCAACATGATAATGATCCAAAACATAGAGCTGCTATTGTAACGAATTGGTTGAATCGAGAGCATATTGAATGTCTAAAATTGCCTTCTTTTTCACCTGACATGAATCCTATTGAACATTTATGGGACGAAGTAGAACGAAGAATGAAAAAAGAACAACCAAAAAATGAAAAAGAACTCAAAGAGGCTTTAAGTCGAGTATGGAATGGAATTGAGCAAGGAGTTTTGAAAAAATTGGTTGACTCAGTGCCGAATCGTGTAAATGAGGTTCTTCGTACAAACGGCTATCCAACAAGATACTGATTATGTTGGAAAAAAAAGTTCTGAAAGCGAAATTTTTCTTTTTTTGTTTTGGTCGGATAATTTTGGCGTATGAAAAATTCATGTATTTTTTTTTGTTTTAATAAAAAATGAACAACACGAAATTTCAATCTTATACTGTCCATATACATAGTAGAAGTGATGAGCTACAACATAGTGAAGAACGCAGGTTTTTAGCTAGTTTCATCTGTAAGATATAAAACGAAAATTTTTTTTTTCTATGTGGTCGGATAATTTTGGCGGCCACTGTATACGGTACCATCAAAACACACACGACCTGTACAATTATTTCTAAAACAGCGCCAGATGGTTTCAGATTTCTGGACACGTCTGTAACGAAATCCATCACGCAGAAGTTGATCCTTATTTTTTGACGATTTAACAATCGGCATTCTATAATTATAAAAACGCAATAAGATAGAGCACTAATGGGATCTAGATAAAAAAGATATATAATTCGAAAAGTTATTCTTTTTTTGTAAAGATTATTGATTTAGCTATGGAAGAATTTAATAGCAAGTAATTAATCTCCTATGAAGATGCCGAATGTTTCTGTTCATTAATTTTGAGTCGAACAAACTGATAGAATATTGATTTTTTTTCGCAATTAATCAATGAGAGTTCAACTGTCGGTGTACCAATTAGAGTCCCGTGAAGATATTCAATTTTTAATGCCTGATTCGTGATTTCTTGGGCGCCCTGTACGTACATATATATGTATGCGCAGTTGTTTACGGGTGTTGACAGTAATAAATCAAGGTTGAAAAATATACGTACATAGGTCATAGTTGTCCATGACTCAAAATTAGGAAAGTTTTAAAAGTTAGAAATAAATCAGGAAAGTAAACCCCCTGCGGGGTCTGTAAGTACACTCTTCGATTTCTTTTGAAATACATATTGCTTTCGCAGCAAATTCTTTTAACAAATGTCTCAATTTTTTTTTATATTAGTAATCTTGTCTGTCTAAGTTATTTTCTAACGGAACAACGTCAATTTGTTATTTATTTCATGATTTTTGTTACTTTTTTCTTTCAAGAGGAAACACATCTGTTCTCTGTTCAAAGGAAATGAACAGGAACAACGCAAAAAAGAACAATCAGTATTTTATCACGCTTTAGATAAAAATTGCCATTGATACAAATTTATGAAATAATGATGGTCGTGGGTATACTGTTATTTCTCATCTCCTGTATTTTAACCAATAGCCATTATTCATTATATCATTCAAATATTCGTCAAACCTCTTATCTCACATTCGATTGTTTATATGCTTATTTAATTGACGGTGGAAAAGAAAGTGGTGGACGCTATATTCGTAATTATCATTTAATTCCTTATTGTAGACGCCCTGATGATAATGACGAACTAGAACCAGTTTCCTATCTTGACAATGATAATATAGCACAAACAATAACTTTTGATGAATTAAAGAAACAAGATATCACAAGTGAACAATTACTTGAATGGTTTGCACCTATCGATGTTGCAGAGAAATATGAGATGAATAACGATAGTGTAGACATTTTTCATAAATGTGCATCACCATGGTTTGGTTCGATGTGTCAATATAAATTACAGTATGATCTATCATTATCATTCGGCGATATTGTTCAAGCTACTTTTAGTCATTACTTAAAGATTGTTGCTAACGTCACTACTGGTACATGTTATCGATTTTTGGAGAGTTGTCATCGAGATTCGTGGCCTCAATGTCTCGATTGGCGTGAAATTTGTGATGGAAAAATGGATTGTATAAGTGGAGAAGATGAACAATGGTGTGATCAACTAGAAATGACTAAATGTAGTGATAATGAATATCGATGTCATTATGGTGACCAATGTATTCCATTGAATTTTTACAAAGACAGTAGATTTAGTATTGATTGTCTAGATGGGAGTGATGAACAAGATCATGTTACGGATTATTCTCTGCTGATCAACATATATTGCACGAATATTCAGACATTTCGTTGCCAAGAACGTACCGGGCGATATCCATTGTCTTTTCAGTGTGGTGATGGCCAATATACACGGTTCTTTGGAATACCTAATTTCATAACTATTTGTTCGAATAGTCGAGATATAGCATTATCTCAAGCTATGCTTACTTCATTCAATTATATCTCAAACATCGGTTGTCGAGAAGCATTTTTTTGTGCTCTTTACTTCAATCGAACAGAGCATTCAGGTACTAATGTAACAAAAAAAGCAGAGATCATAAAAATATTGTTTTGGTTTTAAGGGGGTAGATCTTTACTATCAGATAGCATATTGGACAAATTTGATTACAATATAGGACCTATTGCTAATGGATTTGAGCAGTATGATTAAATATGAAGTAAACTGCTGATTTCTGAGAAGTCGATGACCACAAGAAAAATAAGTGTTATAACAGAGGAAAAGTGAGGTATACACAGAAGAGAATGCTACTATCCATGTGAAAACTTTTTCCACGGTAAACTGTTTACCAGCGGCTTAGAATAGCTTATATTTTTTCTTACAAAAGAGGTTTTAAGCGCACATTTTAAAGAACTAAAAAGTGCTTCGAACATATTTAAGCCTTTATCAGCGCTAAAAATAGTAGTGACAATTCTTCCAACTGGCTTGTGGCAGCTGAAGAAATCAAATTCTAACTTCTTACAAGCTGTTTGTAACACATCTATTCGACAGCAGCTGATGAGTATGTCAATATAACGAAATTATAAAGTGCTTTTCAGCTACATGCAACTTAACCGGCTGCAAAGTGCTGAATTTCGTTACATTTATCCGGTTATCAGCCGCTGTCGAATAGATGCATTCTAAGCAGCTCGCAAGAGGTTAGAATTTGACTTTCTCAGCTGGTGTAAACCAGTTGCAAGAGCTTTCACTACTGTTTTAAGCGTTGATAAGGGCTTAGATATGTTCTAACCGCTGTTAAGTGCTTTCAAATGTGCGCATAAAGGCAAAAACATAAGCTATTTCAGCTATAATGAGCTAGCTTTGTCGCTTAAATTTTTCCATGAGTAGTCAGCATCCTGAGGATTAACTATGCTTTCGAGAATGAACTATTGAAGTTCATTGTTTTCCAATTACATCAAGTTATGGTAAAACAGCAATGAAAGTCAGTAGTTTTAGAAACAACAAAAACCATGAAACCCTGCCAAGTTGTAGCCCTTTTGATTGGATTAGTGTAAATGTTGTCATACCGAAAATCGGGTTATGTACGAGAGAGATTGTTTCTGGATTGCTTTTACTCTCTTTTGCGCATTGTCTACATATCTATCTCACTTCTATGTATAAAACTAACCATAGCTTCAAGTCTATTGTCCCAAGAGACACAGCGTAGCAAACATAATCATTTGAATTTATATTGATTATTTTTCGTGATTAATACAGGTGAAATTTCTGAGATCCTATTCAAGTTCTATGCTGGTTCATGCTGATAAATGCAATTTTTCATTACATTTATTTCACTATAGTATTGATCCAAGTTATTAGGCGCGAGCAAATACCGAACTTCCCAGTATGATTAATCTAACGTTTTGAAATCATACCATAAAACTGCATAAAATGGTGGAGAAAGGGTGTGATTACTGCTCTAAATGATAAAAGACAATCGCCATTTATCGCTGAGCGTAGGTGTATGAAAAATAACCACCCATAGACGCAATAGCCGTACCTCCTTGGCTTGAAAATACCGCTAGACACTCTTTTAGATATAATAGTTCACTAATAAGAAAAACTATAATTTTAAGATTGTATTTTCTAACAAGTAACTTACTACGATCGCTTTTCGCCATTTTTAAACGTTTACGAACTCTTACTTCGATATACCAAGAGTAATATCATTGACACTTGGATAAACTTCGTACTAGACATCTAGAGCACAAAAGAATAGACTCTGTCATCTATGAAACTTACTTATAAAAAAATGATGAACCAGAGATACGCAAAGTTTTATTGAGTGTACGTCATATCACCGGATAGATTCCAGCAAAATATATCCATCAATGCTAACGCTAGCTCAAAAAAGTTAATTCGAACCTCATATTAACCAAAAAAAACTTAACAAGACAAAGAGTAAAAAGCAGTTCCATCTTAGCAAAACATATTCATGAAACATTAGAAATTGATCCAACTAAAAACGGCAGATAAGATCATTAATATTTATCTATTAAACATCATTAGAACATGCCTAATGATGTCTATAGGATACATTTTCGATTCCATGTGAAAATCCGTTGAAAGCGGAGTAAAACTGTCTGTTCGAACAGTGGCGTTTTCTGCTTGGACGTAAACAATGACTATAATCGATCGCCGTAACAAAAGCTGTTTTTCAATGTTTTCGAGTCGTTCATGGTCTTCTACGGGCTGTTCTATTCTATTTCGGTCTCTGCAATAACATTCACACTCGCTATGTGCTTTGCTTGAAGAAAATCGTGGTTAAAAAATAAAATAAATGCGAAAACCTAGACTTAAGTCCGAAAGCTATGTGTACTTCAAAAAGTGAATGAGACAAATCAGTCATCCTAGAATGTGTGGATATACAAATTAGCTTGGCAAACTTTTTTCATAAACACTTGAATTCTATTGACTACTGCTCAACCAATAGGATTTGGGGGCGACCGCAACTCAGATTTGAACTCTTCGCCTTAATATACCCTCAGAAAGTCGTTTTTTCTACAACTTGATTTCTATTGGTAAGTGCTCAACCAATAGGGCTTTGAAACAAGTGGAGTACAGATTCAAGTTCTCCACCCCAGAAAACCTTCAAGCATCACTTTTTATTGGAAGATAATGCTCTCATTTGTGGATCAGTTAGAGCGTGGACAAGAGCAGAACCGATTTCCGTTTATTTGTCTTTTCAATAGGTGAGCTGGCCTTCTTGTTTCTTTATGTTTTATATACCATTTTGTAGCTCGTAAAATTCTCTATCGAATGGTGTATAATATTTGGGGTTTTATTCCAGTATGACAGGAAAATTGTTTTACGAAAGCGGGGAT